AAAAGATGAAAACCCTAGGCTGAAAAGGGCTTCAACATTTCAAGTGAAATTTTCTGTAAATGTGTGGGCCGCACTGATTGACAACTTTTTGATTGGTCCAATATTAAACGGAGAGAGATTTCTGGAGCTTTTGCGGACTGAACTGTCCTTGCTGTTGGAAGAAGTGCCGCTGCAAACCCGTCGAAGAATGATGCTTCAAATGGATGGATGTCCTGCCCATTACTCGCTGATTGTCAGGTCTTTTCTTAATGAAAATTATCCAGGCCGCTGGATCGGTCGACAAGGACCTGTTGGGTGGCCGGCGCGTTCCCCAGATCTCACACCTCTCGACTATTTTTTATGGGGGACAATGAAACAAAGCGTGTACAGCAGTTCCATAAACAGCGAAGCGGAACTTGTAGAAAGAGTTTTGCGTGTTGCAAACGAAATCAAAAATGATCCCGAGATGATTCGTAGGGCAACTCATCAAATTTCACTTCGCGCTACAATGTGTTTGCAGCAACGGGGTGGCCATTTTGAACATTTGATCCATTAAGCCAAAATGATTATCCTATAGACAAGTCTGTTTGATTTTATTTGTTAAAGATAATGAATGATTCATGTAGGTTAAGACTGTTGTTTTATTCCTACTCTGGCGTTGAACTGAGTTCACTGCTTTTTGAAACGCTGATTTAAAAACTTGTATCTAAGTAATAAACTTGCAATTTTTCACCATTAGGAAGCTAATAACATGTAGAATAACTTAAGATTTAAAAAAGGTAGGGTAAATAGGACAATTTTTGTTGAAATTTAGCAATTGTTTTAAAAATAATTGAAAAAATAGTGAATTTCAGCATATTCCTCTTTATTTTAAATTTATAGCATTTAATTTCGTGGAAATTTTCACTTTACTGGTACGGCCTATTATTTGCAATCACTACAAAATTTATTCCAATATGATAGGACATTCAGTTTAAAAGTTGGAACGATTTATTTAAATAGGATTAGCAGCTGACTAAAAATTTTAAAATATTCATAAAAAATCAATTATTGTTATTAATTTTTTTTTGATAATTTTTCCGTCAATAAAATACGGTGTAGTTTCCTTGATTTTGCTATGTGCACTTTATGAAGACTCACACTGTATTATCAAAACCCAGTGATTTCTTAACTTTCAGCTTTTATGATATGACTTTGTACTTTCCACGCAGTTCTCGACAAATGAAGTTTGAATGTATCTAGCTCAATTCTTTCTAGCGAGCTGGCATTACAGAGAGGCTACCATAGCTTCTAGAAAAATAGTGATTTTGGTAGATACAACTGGTGCACTATCTCAACCATTAGATATCTAAGCGCCCCTGTAATAAAACTTCTCGTTGTTTCTTCGTAAACATATATAACTACAAGAAGTAATAAAGTTAATACTATTGCATGCTTAGATAAAAATAAGTATTCTAAACTGATAACCAGATGTCATAAATGTAAGAGGTATGAAATTGTATCAGTATAATTTTACTCATTTGTAGATGAGTGGTTACTCAGTTTAGGATTCTCATCTACTCAAGTAATAATTGGTTCACATGCATACTTCGAAGAATCACAGAGAAAGTACTGTATACTACAGCTGCGTGTTCACTCTGTGCCTGTGACTAGATTTGTATTTAGGACATGTAAACGCTCTATCTATTTTAGGTCCATTTTTGATACCACAAGCAGTAGAAAGAGTCATCTAAGACCACTGCTTCCCTGATATTAGTTTGAAAGTCACAGTTATGTTTGGAAGGTTAGTCTAAGGTGGTCTGAAAATATGGCACTCTGTTTCATCTGAAGCACATTTATATCTCTTGCGACCCCTGTTTGAGCTAGTATGATACTTCTTGTTAAAATAAGCTCTTAGCTTGAGATATATACTAAGTGACATATAAATCCGAACACCCAGTTTAAATAGTTTTATTTTAATAAAAGTTGGTGAATGTATTTATCTTACTGTAAATGACAAGTGAAAAAATTTTCAGCCTTATCAGTTGGACATTCCGGTTTTTATACTGCTTTTTTTTTAAATTCACTAACGCTCTAAAAATGAATATTTCAGCCGCAGTAAAGAATCAACGTTGGCGGATTTTGGTTCTTGACATCCTTTACGATCGGTTACGATGCCTAGAGGACGGAGACATGTACGATTTCGTCAACTTAGTGAGTTTGATAGGGGCCGTATAGTGGGACTTCGGGAAGCTGGACTTTCTTTTCGGGCAATTGCAGTTAGAGTGCAAAGAAGTGTAGACACTTTAGTTAGGTGTTGTCACGCATGGCTTCGAGAAGCCCGTACGCAAAGAACAAGGGGCACTGGACACCGCCGTAGAACAGCAGACCGTGAAGATCGCCGCCTAAGATTATTGGCCTTAAGGGACCGTTTCTCCACTACCAGGTTCATTGCAAATGAATGGTTTGCAGAACACGGAAGACCTATTGGCATGCGAAGTGTTTACCGACGAATGAGACGTTTTGGCTTGTTTTCATACCGGCCACACTGGGTCCTCCCTTTAACTCGAGAACGCCGACGTAATCGCCTTGAGTGGTGCAGACAACGGTCACTCTGGGATCAGGAATGGAACAGTATCGTCTTTAGTGACGAGTCTCGATTTTGTTTAGGCATGCACGATGGTCGTGCCAGAGTTAGAAGGTGACGTGGTGAAAGGAGGAATCCACAGTTTTTTGTTGAAAGACATGTTCATCACACTGTTGGAGTTATGGTTTGGGGTGCTATAGCTTATGGTTCCAGGTCACCTTTAATCTTCATCAGAGGTAACATGAACGCGCAGCGTTATATCCATGAAGTTCTAGAACCCCATCTTTTACCCTGTCTTGACACCCTGGCATATCCAACTTTCCAACAAGATAATGCCCGACCACATGTTGCAAGAGTCACAATAGACTTCTTTCAACATAATGATGTCACATTGTTACCATTGCCACCAAGATCTCCCGACTTATCCCCAATTCAGCACGTGTGGGATATGATGGGTAGGAGATTGCTCAATTTGCAACGTCCTCCTCAGACTCTAGAAGCACTTCGAGAGGAGTTGGTGGTTGCCTGGAATGAGATACCACAGGAGGACATTGACCACCTGATCAGAAGCATGCCTAGGTGCGTTGGAGAATGCGTAGTACATCAGGGTGCATCCACACATTATTAAAGGTCAAAGGGCTTTAAAGCAGTGCAATCATTTTGAAATTTTTATCATTTACTTATTATGCTTCATTAAGTACTTATACAAAATTTTATTAAAATAAAACCATTTAAACTGGGTGTTCGGATTTATGTCAGTGTAACTTTGTACTTCTGACAGCATGGAAAGTCAGTCAAAATATCCAAGCTACGACTCCTTATTTTTTGATGTTTGAAATGACCCCCCTTCAGTGTGATTGCTTATTTGATATAGCATGGCAATTTGCTCTGCCCCTTTTCATAGACATTGTCTCCAAACCGATCCATTGTCATTTTATATTTGTGAACTTGCGAAGAATGTTTTACTAACATCACTTCAAATGTATGTATGTCAACCGATTATTATGAAAAGGACTGTCAATATTGAAACAGAAATAGCAGGATGGTGAAATGCTGCGTAGATCATTTAAAGCGTAAACTCTGTTCAATTTTGACACCCATTTGCCACCCCGTCTAGTTTAAATATGGGGTTGTCCAAAACGGACGCAGGAAAGTAAACGCATATTAAAACAAGAAAGATTGATATTCAAATCAAGTTGGGTACTTTATTTTGAAGGTTCATTTATACCATTTATGTATGAAAAATAATATCGCTCAAATGTTCACCACGACTGGATTTACAGACGTCCACGCGATGGTCGAAATTTTCAATGACATTTTGCAACATGGTCGGTTCTATGGCATTTATCTCGGCAATGATGTTATTTTTGAGTTCTTGGAGGGTAGCTGGTTTGTTGACGCAGACGTTGCTTTTCAAATATCCCCATAAAAAGAAGTCCAAGGGAGTCAAATCGCACGATCTTGGTGGCCATGGCACATTTCCTCTGCGCGAAATCACGCGAAAAAGGACTGCAATCGATGGATATTGGTTGTGTGGCATGTTGCACCGTCGTGTTGGAAATAAACATCGTCCATATCCATTCCTTCAAGTTGCGGCAAAAAATAGTCCTCTATTATCACGTGATATCGCTCAGAATTGACGGTAACGGCGTCCCCGGTCGAAAAAGTAAGGTCCGAAGATGCCTTTTGACCACAATGTACACCACACAGTCACTTTTTGAGGATGCATCGGCTGCTCTTGATACTCACGGGGATTTTCGTTCGCCCAGATGCGGCAGTTTTGCTTGTTTACCGTCCCATTGAAATTGAAATGCGCTTCGTCGCTGAACATGATTTTTGATGAAAAATTGGCATCAATTTGGCGGTGTTCAAGGAGCCAATCTGAGAACGTTCGGCGCGAAAAATGGTCGACCCGACGCAGCTCTTGCGTCAATTGAATCTTGTAGGCGTGTACATTCAAATCCTTATGGAGAATGCGGAGCAAACTGGTTCTCGAAATGCCCAATTCTTGGGATCGACGCGTTGTTGATTGTTTCGGATCGTCTCTCACACTCTCCTTCACAACAGCAATATTTTCCCTTGTGCGAACGCTCCTGGGCCGGCCAGATTTGCCACAGAACATGTTGCCTCGAATTTACGCACCAGACGACCGATGGTTGTTTCGTTTGGGCGGTTGTTGCGACTGAAATGTTCACGATGCGCGCGAAACGTGTTTTTTATTCTTGCACCGTTTTTGTAGTGCTCTTGAATAACTTTAATGCGGTCTTCAATCGAATACGACTCCATAGCGATCAATGGTAAACATTCAACTAACAAAATGACATGTCGGTGACAGAAAACAAAGATGGCGTCCATGTCAAATTGACGTTTACTTTCCTGCGTCCCTATTGGACAACCCTTTACTAATCTAACCGACCAATACAGTGAAAAAAGTAAAGCCGATCCCCCCGAAAAGGCAAGACTCAAGTCCGAACCAGTCAAAGCGGACGACGCCAAATCATTCTCGTCGGCCTAGTCCAAACGCCAGGAGCCCCAGCGGGGGCTCAAGAAAGTCCAGTCCATGTGCTAGAAATATCGATAGCACTTCATCCAGGAAAACCAGTCCTAACACCAGAAACTCTAACGGCACTTCAAGAAGATCTAGCCCCAACGCTAGGAGCCCAAGCGGTTCGAGGAAACCTAGCCCAAACTCGAGAAAGTCGGGCGATGCAAGCCCGAAAAAAACTAGCCCGAAGGCAGGTCGCAAGTCGCGCGAAGGCAGTCCTAAGAAGATCAAGTCGTCCTTGAAACAGCCTTCAAGGTCGCTGAGTATCGAGACGCCTACTTGCGTGGAGTGCTACCTGTCGGGCAAAACTGACACTAAACCGGGATAGCATCCGCATACTTATCAGCAACATCGCAGGAGCAAAAGCTTCGTTTTAACTCGTTTCACCAGCGATGAGATCAACTGCTAAGCGGATTCTGATTGGCGGAGAGTCTTGGAAAGGTAGGGGCAAAGAATGGATAAGAGGAATCGAGTTAGTTAGAATGTTTGTGTAGATGTCAAAGGGATTGCGTAATGTCATGGTTTCACATTCATTTGTTTTGTTTGTTTTGCAGTCGTTATAACATAAATGTGCTATGGCTAAATGCACATTTCAAAAGTTGGAATTATCAAATTCTAACAGGATTTGCTGCCAGTTGATAGTTTTCATCGTGATTGTTTTACTCGACGATTGTTTCCCAAACAAGCTTTCATTCGTCCAGTTTGTGGCATAATGTAAAATAATAGACTGTAATATGGTCAATATGTGATAAACAGACAATCTATCATCACCCATTGTTGATAATCAGATTCACATCATCTCTTTCATTTTAGAAATTAATATCAATAAACACTATCAAAACATAGTAGAAGGTTTCACTTGATTTTTCTTTTATGGCATATCAAAAGAGCACAATCGAAGATGGCTTATCATAACTAAAAATTTTCTAAAACAGCAAATTTAAATCTTCGAATTTGCACGTCGCTAGGCATAGAATTAAATCAAAAGTTAAGACAACTTTTTTATACAAACGTCAAAAGTTGTTTTTTTCGCTCCTGACTTGTTTTTTTTTTTTGTACAATTCTGAACAAAAAGGTTATTGAACTCAAAATGAGTTATTTTCGACAACAAAAAACAATACGAAATGTCAATGTTCCCAAGTATTCTTCAAACATCCAACAATGAAATCCCAAAGCATTTTACGAGGTTATTGTAAAACTTTGTTTTTTACTTATTAGTCAAGTATGCGCTCACATAATATATATAGGTGAAAAAATTAAAGTTTCCACCTTTTGTTGGGTACTTCGACAAAATGTAAGCAAGGAGGACTCTTTATACTTTTTTATTCTCTCTAGCTTTCAATGGTCTTTGCCATCATCATCAGGAGCTGCAATTACATTGATAACAGTAGCAACAATTTTCTAAAATGAATTTAAATTAATTTACAGTAGTATGTGAGGATGTTGCTAATTGTTGTTTACGTTAAGGATGAGGGAAATACCCAGTAACATGGTGAAAGCTGGATACATGGTACAATGATCAAAATTATACAAACTACACACAGCTGTATGACAAGAACAAGTTAAAAACAGATTAAAAATATTTAAAACGAAAGGTAGGCATTACATCGTGAAGCCACTTGATGATTGCACAAAATGGTAGGCATAGAATCATGAGTAAGATTAACCTTTTGACAGATGGCCGAAATAAAAATATGTTGGGTAAGAAGCTGTCAACCCGACCAGAGGCAGTTGAATTAACTATATTATTTTGAGATTGGCAATTGAATTAACAGTTATTATTTAATTATGAGGAAACAATTATTAAAATTTGAATGGAATGGAGTTTTTCGGTGAAATAGACCAAAAAACATTGCATTTATGGTTGCGAAGAGTCAAAATTTGGAGAGATGTGTAAGTGCTCCAATTTTTCGCAGTTTAGCAAATATGAGTAAATGACGTTCAGTTGCTTAACATCTGTCTTCTTATTGACACAGTTGTCATTCATGAAAATGTGGGACATTTCCAGGAATAAACGTTTGGATAGGTGTTTTTCCTTATCGAGCACCTTGATACTTGTGTAGTGCATAGAGTGCCCTGTTGTGTTGACATGAGATGCTACACCACATCTCTCGGGATGAAACCTAGAATCACTTTTGTATGATGTAATCCTTCCTTCCAATTGCAACCAAATATACATAGGTCAGACCTCCAGATCTCTTAAAGGACGGATTACATCACACAAAAGTGATTCTAGGCATTCAAATTTTAATAATTGTTTCCTCATAATTAAATAATAACTGTTAATTCAGTTGCCCATTTCAAAATAATATAGTTAATTCAACTGCCTCTGGTCGGCTTGACAAGTTCGTACCCAACATATCTTGAAAATCACACCATCTGAAGTGATTTGGCAACGTAGCACACACCCTACAAGAGAATTTTCGTTCCATCATTCTACTCGGACACTGCTAATCTTCGGCCATCTGTCAAAAGGTTCATCTTACTCATGATTCTATGCCCACCATTTTGTGCAATCATTAAGTGGCTTCACGATGTAATGCTTAACTTTCGTTTTAAATATTTTTAATCTGTTTGTTCTTCTCATACAGCTGTGTGCAGTTTGTATAATTTTGACCATTGTACCATGTATCCAGCTTTCACCATGTTACTGGGTGTTTCCCTCATCCTTAACGTAAACAACGATTAGCAACATCCTCACACGCTACTGTAAGTTAATTTAAATTCATTTTACAAAATTGTTGCTACTGTTATCAATATAATTGCAACTCCTGATGATGATGGCAAAGACCATTGAAAGCTAGAGAGAATAAAAAGGTATAAAGAGTCCTCCTTGCTTAAATTTTGTCGAGGTACCCAACAAAAGGCGTAAGCTTTAATTTTTTCACCTAACTGGTCTAGACGACAATGACCACGTCTCAAGTTATATATATATATATATATATATATATATTATGCGCGCGCTTGAATAACAATTAAAAAACAAATTTTCACATTAACAATACACCTTAATTGCTTCTTGATTAAGTTAAATTGATGCTTGGCAATGTTAGATTGCTTGTGTTTTGCATATTGTTTTTCGAGATCGTAATAACATATTATACTTTTTCATATAGTATATCGATGTATCTCGAAAACGTAGCTTTCTTAAGAACTTTTTTGTTCAAAGTGATCTAGAAAACCTGACAGAAACTTCTTCCGGAGCAATAATAATTTTTCGTATTTGTTTAAACGATTTTTGATCCAGTTTTGGCTCTAGCCACATGCAGATTGGCTTAAAGGGGTCCTTCTTTAATAAGATAGCTCAAAAAAACAAACCAGAATATATTTTCTAGCGAGTGCGATACCTTAACTAAATGCTCTTTTTATGTCATACAAGATATCGCATGAATGCAAGCCACACGTATTACAAAATCGAAACTAGATAGACGAAAATTGTGAACGTATTAACACATCCCTCTTATCCAATCTTTGTTCGTATCTTCTCTATTGACTGCTTACCACTTTATAGATAAGAAAGACTGAGTTCTTCAAGAACGGTATATGGACTGCAAATTCTATATAGATTTACTTTTTGAGTTCTCCTTTTTGATTTTTGATAGCATACCCCCGCTTTGCAGTAGTAATAGTAGAACGCTTTATGTCTGTTGGACTTCTAACGACCCTATTTTCGAAGATATTTTAGTGAACAGCTTCGGTACTTTGCTTTGTTACCAAAAGCAAACGTAGTACAAGGAATTAAAGTGTTTCAATGTTTGCAAAAATATGTCCACTGGATACCTTTACGTTTATCCAATACAAAGCCAAATAGATAATCAAAGTAGAAAAGTATTTATAAATTCGTTAGATAATCACACTTATACATATATAGTGTGATAATATTCATTACTCTGTAATTATAGTCGATGAAACTATTTTCTATTAGATGTACTTTGAGATTCGTAATTACAATTGGCACACATGGAAACATGCAAAGTAGAAGTACCGTACCCTAAAAGTAGATCGCGCACGCCTTTAAGAAATCTGACTTTCCAATAGATTATCTTTATCTCCCTTTTTGATTTTTCTTAGAAACAATAAGTAGTAGTTGATAAATTTTGCTCATTAATTATTTTATTTTAATGTAAAATTGTCAGTTGACAGTATCGAAATCATATCATACGGTTCCGGAAGCTCGTCACTAATCGATTTTGACAAATGAAACAGTCTGTGTCCCAATAGGGTAGCAACACATTTTCTCAATACATTACAACGATGAAAAATTAAGAAAGCCTTTTTTAACTAATGTTTGCATAACAGCTATATTCGCTGTTGGTTTCAAGCACTGAACCTAGCTTAGTAGTGAAGTCAAGTTTCTTAAAACGTCGCGAGTTCGACCAATTTGCTCAAAAAAAGTTATGACGTTGCTTGTTGTGTTGTAGGGTCGCCCGTGTGGAAGCCAAGAGACAGTAGTTTAGAGCCGACCTCAACCACACTCCCGCGCAAGAGCAGAGACCACAATATGGCCGCGTTGAGCGCCTCTAGAAAGTCGCTCATCGAAACCAGCACTGGCCTGGAGGTGTACAATCAGCAGTAAATATATTCTATATCTGTAATAAGGGTACGCGTAACGATCCCTGTGGTATACCGTTTCGGTGATTCTTCTACAAAGCATTCTCTTAGCACCTCGTGAAACCATGGCAGGGTAAATGTTTCTCAACGGAAATCACAAAGTAAAATAGTATAGATTCAGGATCTTCCATAGCTATCCATTGACGACCTTGAGGATGACCCATAAGGTGAAATCAAGGTCAATACAATCTTCTTCGAATAGGATCCTATATTTTTGATCCCTGAAACGGATAAAACGTTTACGTTTAGACATGACCTTGAGTGAGAATTATATTGACCTTAAACGTCTCTGGCCAAGGTTATGTCGAAAAGTGTCGAGTATCCTATGGATTTTGCTAAAATAACCGATGAAGTATTTTCAAGAATATACTGGTAATATATATCAGATTAATGCTTCAAAATATGTTGCTTCATATATTTCCTAAATATTTACGAAAAATATCAGATATTACATCAATATATAAAACTTAAAGTTAAAAATATTTCCTCATATATTTTCTAAATGTTTGGAAAAAATACCATCAAAATATGTAAATTATATATACCTCAAATACCTAAAACGAATATTTTATTAATAAATAAAAATTATTTTCAAATATTAAAAAATCTGTGGCTACAAATATTTAGCAAATATACTCGTATAGCTGCTATTCACAAAATTGGAGTTAATTCCAACACACTCTTTTTTACTATAACATATTTTATTGTGAATATTTTTATATTGATCTTGTTGCAAATTAATTACTCATACTTTATTGTTGGACTTTCTATTGCAGTGACACAAACTTTCCCACACTTGAAAATTATTCTCTAATTTTTTGTTCGATTTGCTATTAAAGCGTTTTTTTATTTTTTAAACTATAATTTATCTTCTGAATTTTTAGTCTCAAAATGAAAATGAATAATCAAACGCTCCCTTAAGTTCAACTGTACAACAACAACTATTACGGACGTCTATGGACCAGTTAAATTGTCATGGATCTGCTTTCACTTTTCAGTAGCCGGTAAGTTCCCTATTTCCAGTTAATCTTGCTCCAATAATAAGCGATTTAAGCTATGCATAAATTAATATATTTTCACGTGCTTTGCGTTTACTTTACCAACTTTCATACATTTTCGGATCGCGAAATATCCTTCATTGCCGGAAATATGATTGAAATATTTGATGAAGAAGCTAGTCGATCGTTTATATTGTATTTATTGAAATGCCGTAAACTAAAAGTGTCTAAAAGTGAAATTTTGTGTGTCGGTTTCCGGGATCAAATCAAACATTGCAAACAAAAATGGTCTAGATTTGATCATCAAGATAATGGCCAAGGTCAGCTTCAAGGTCATCTGCGAATTGCTTGGGAAGTCTGTAAAATCTTGTCAAACGATGTTTATTACTGTGACCTTGATAAGGACGTTCAAGATTGAAATAATTTTTACCCAAGGTCATAGATGAATGTGAGGTTCCGGGGCAAAAGAACCGAGTACTATTAAAGAAAGTCATCTGTACATTGATTTGAGAGTCAAGATCATAATAAGGCTGGATTTCAAGGTCATCAAAGACAAATTGATGCTGCTGTATTTGCGCTGTTTGCTTCATTTTTTATAACCTCGTCTTGTCAAACGATGTTACTTAATGTGACCTTGACAAGGACGTTCAAGGTTAAAACAATGTTCACCGAAAGTCATAAGTGGATGTTCCGGGATCAAAAATATAGAATACCTTTGAAGAAAATCCTCTTGAAATTGATTTGAGGGTCGATGTCATGGTAAAGCTTAGTATCAATGTCATTGGTGAATAGACAAATAAAAATTGAAGCTTCTGCTATCTTTAGGTCTGCATTAGACACTTATTAGGATTTATATGGAGGTACCATTCAGTAACTACGTAGCACATTCCACTATAAATATTTTGTGGTTCAGATACGTAGATATCAGGATGATATAATAATTTGACGTAATTGATGAAAATATTCTAGTCTGAAGACATCGGTATGAGTTTCGGTCATATTATTTCAACATTTGCTTTGCCATTCTTTCATTGGGGGTTACACAGAATCAAAGAGGTAGTATAAACTGAAGATTCCAGAGACGTATACACAACTATTCGACAAATTTTAATCACATAATGCACTGTTACGAAAGAAGTTGATTTCTCAAAGAAAATGTAATAAAAGTCCTACAGAAATCGAGATAATAAAATAATACAGGTTAACAGTTCACTTACTTATAAAAGCTGTTCAAAATTGTTTCCATTGACTGCAATGCAAGTTGTGAGCGAACCCGACCTCATCCACTCCACATCTGGGGCGCAAATGTCCACTAGCACGTGCACATAAAACAATTGAACTAAATGTTTCGTGATGTGGTGGAAATCGTTGTTCATACAAACGAGAAGCCGCTCGCGAATTTTGCCCTGCTTCTCCGTACACTAAAACAATGTCCACTAACTCCTCATTAGTGTACACATGTGCCATTTTTATTAACGACCGATATAGGTTAAACCTTATTAACACCTTCTTATCAGTATGGAAAAACAAAAAATTCCTGGCATTTTGTTTTCGTCAGTTGTTTGGTACAACATTTGCTACAATAAATTATTATTGTGAGTTCTAATATCACGACGATGAACGCAAAATACAGATATTTATTTTTCAATTTATGATTGAAACTAAGGTTTATAACTTAATTTCTTTAGGACTTTTATTGCATTATTTTTTTTTTTTTTTAGAAATCAACTTCGTTCGTAACAGTGCATAATATGTGGTTAAAATTTGTCGGATAAGCTGTGAAAAATCCTGTATAACTTCTTAGAAATCAGATCTATTTCAAGTAGCACTAGCCACTAATTTATTTTAATGAGATGAAGACCGATATCTACTGGGTGTTCGGTAGGTCGATATACACATCTTAGATGTTGATGTTTACTGAATTCTGAAACACATTCAGGATTATTTTCGTGTTTGGGAATCTTCAGTGGCCAAGGTTAAGTCGTATACATGAATCACTGAAACAAAATACAGCTCACGAACTGTTGCTGGTTATAAAAAGTGAATTGTTAAATAATGCAAGTATTATAAACTAATTGTTATGTACTGTGACTTTTAATCGACTGATTCGTGTCTCACATAAATTTAGTTTTTTTGCATCATGTGAATATTTCAGTTAATAAAAAAAACGTTAGCAAAATAGGGATGATATCAGCTGTATCCAAAGTTACTGCTACTCATCAACGTTTGTGTTGTTGAGAAATGAAGGATGATTTTGGTGTCAACAGCGTATGATTGCATTGATTTTTTCAACCGATTCTACACCCTATTTTGTGATACCATCCAACGTAGCTCATACCCAAAGATTAATAGATACGTTTTTTGTTTTTCTTTGTACTCAAACTCAAATCTGTTCGAATGTCATGGCTAAAAATGGTTGCAAAGGTAATTACTAATTGATTAACTAAAGGTTTCAATATGATGTGTTGAAATAAAAAAACCGATTTTTTATCACTACTGATTCCAGTAAAAAGTACTTGAGCTAAATTAGGTTGTATCCCAAATATATCCAAAAAACTAGATAGAATACGTACATATTTGGCATTATCATTATAACTATAGCTAATGATTCTTTCATTCTGAAAATATTAAAATGTACCACAGTCACACTAGTAGAAATCACTCAAAACAGGGCATAATATAATAAAAAATTACGATTCATATGTAACTATACCATATAAATGTAATTCGGAATTGTAACCAAAGAAGAAGAAATCATCTTAGTCTAATGATTTTTGCGTAAATAGATAGTATAAAATTTTGTTATCGGAATACAAAGTTTATTGAAAGAAATAAGTGATCTTAGTGAAATTTTTAATGTATATTCCCTTCTCGTTTCCATCTCCTAGGTAATTGTGTAAAGAAATACAGGGTGTTATTAAAATGCATTCTGGTACATACCTTGAAAGACGGCTCTACTTGAAGTTAAAAATCACATGCTAGATAACTTATACTGTTTATAGCTTAATTTTGCTTTTTTAATCTAGAATACCACGGTAAACCGATTTTATTTCAAAATAAGCAAGTTATAATTATTTGGTTGGCATTGAATGCATATTCTGATATCTGTGTTCTATGCAACAGTTTTCAATACTTCTATATTGCAATTTTTATCTTACTATAATTTTTCAACACGTTATTCTACTCTACTCTGTTTCCCTTAATTTGGAGACGCTCTTAAAAATTTCTCTATTATCACGTTTTTTTCGAAAATAATTTTAATCTCAGATAACGATAATTTACATTGATATCTGTTAATGATAAATAGTTTATTTATATTTTGACATTTATAATAAAATCTTAAATGCAATTTTTAATGCAATCAACCAAGTGGTAAGTGAGAAGGACTTTTGGAAAGTGGCACTTTTTCATCAAACATGATTAATCATTATATATAATGTCAACACTGTATACTGGAAGAATATTTGTGATTTTGGATAGCCTCAATCAGAACGTGATTTACTGACTCAGAAAAAAGTTATTATAAACGGCATTAGGTAAAATCTTTTTAAATATAGCAAAAATGATAGGCATTACGTGAAATTTACTGGAATAAAAACAATGCAGTATATTTACTAAATGTACGTACAAGGTCCGTCGATTTCATTTACGATAAGGACTTGCTCATTTTTTTGGTACTGCAAATATTTTAGTTGTTATCAGTTTTATTTAAAACGGTGGTCTAGTCGCAAATATTCAAAAGAATGGAAGATTGCCATTTTCGGATATTTATTACGATCGAATATATAAAAATTTAGTAATAGTTGATCCGTATGTAGTTTTAATGAAATAGATATGTATTTTGGAGGAAAGTACATGATAGTTTAATGATTATTCAATGGTGTCACTGTACGTACCTAATAAAATATGTTAATTTACAGATTCTTCATTTTCATTTAACACTTCTCTGCAATATGCCTGTCACATACGAAAATCTAAGCAGATTTTTAGTTAAAATTATCATTGATTCTGTCAATATTCGTACATTAGGTACATAGTTTATACTCAAGAAACAAAATCGTGTTAAACATCATAGAGCATTTATTACGAGGTACTTTAATGTGAAAATCTTTCAGCATTAATCCTTCTACACTTAATGAATAATAAACAACTTTGGATCAGGCGAAAACCTCGCATTTGATGCTTAGAATTTCGGTTGTAAACTATTATTTTTGGGCTTGCCAAGTATCTAAATTATGGTTCAAATCTCCCGTTATAAGATCACGGAGGGTACTTTAGGTTTTTTTCTTTCTGAGAGCAAGTTCCTGGGGACACTACAGCCTCTTGGGCTTATTCTACCTTGCTTCTAGAAGTTTAGAGGACCCAATCCAGCATTTTGGTGCTTTGTATCAGTTGGTGCAGTTTCCCTACCGATAGCATTCTAAACCCCCTCAATTATTTGTGATCAGTC